CTACTGGAATTTACTAAATAAACAACACACATTATATTAAATATCAACATTACTGTACAAAAAAAGTAAATGCTAATATTATTTTACCACTATTTAAGTGTTTTTTTTTTTCTAGACAGCACATAAACATGAATATATTAAGTAACTTCTACTGTTCTGGACTAAAACTGAGGGTGCATGCACACACAAAGGCTGAGAGGACAAGACATGGTGGAAATAAAACATAAGTTGTCTGGTTTCTTTTGCTTGAATACATTTGTTGGTGTGCAATAGTTTGATGGCATAATGTAGGTGATATTTAGTTGTCAGGGAACAGGGAATGCATATTGTAGCATTCTGTTGTGTTTGGCTGTTTGTCATGTGACTGCAGTGGAGGATTGTGGGGAGGATTCATGTTTGTTGTTGTTAAATCATTTTAGGAAATTGGTTAACATTGTTCTTTCAGCAATTAGTCTGTTGTGTTACTCTAATTTGTGTGTTCATTATTTGTTAACTTGTGTTAAACCGTTCAGCAGAAGTAACCATAAGTGAGAGTGGTAGGCCTAGTCATTAATAAGACCTGTGAGTTTCACTTTGTCTGTGTTGTTCATGAAGAAGAATCCAATAAAGGTTCTTCAAAACCACCACCTGGTGGTGAAGTCTTAAACTACAACATGAGCTACACTTCTCTCTGTAGCTGTGAGGTGTCACGCTACAATATTGTGCTTGACTCACGTGCACTGTTATAAAGAACTTGTAATAATTACTAGAAAAAAAATCCTGCAAACGATTTGCACTAATGTTTGTTAAGTAAACTTAAATGCTACAAATTCAAGTAACATTTGCTCATCATTATCTTGTAAAAGTTATTAAAAATAGTTAAAGATTTGCGAATAAATCAGGTAAATTTTACTTAATTTGATCAAGTATACGTTACAAGATTTAACTGAGCAAATTAGGTCAAATTTACCTGATTTATTCACAAATCTTTAACTATATTCTTAATAACCTTTACTAGATAATGATGAGTAAATATTACATGAATTTGTGGAATTTAAATTTACTTAACAAACGTTAGTGCAAATTGTTTACAGAATTTTCTCTAGTAAATCATAGGTTATTTTTACAGTGCAGAAAACACTTTTAAAGATCTCATTGTTCCACGTTTTACAGAGCACTCCACTCTCAGACTGCAGGTTTACTTGTGGTTCTTGGAGTTTCTAAAAGTAGAATGGGAGGCAGAGCTTTCAGTTATCAAGCTCCTCTCTTGTGGAACCAACTTCCAGTTTCTGTTTGTGAGGCTGACACTCTTCTCTCTTTCCTTACTTTTAAGGCTAGACTTAAGACTTTATGTTTTGATAAATCTAATAGTTAGGTTTGGTTTGCTGAGTTATCCAATAGTTCTGCTGCTTTAGACTTAGACTGCTGGAGGACAAACTGAGCACATTTCCTCACTTTGCTGAATCTTTACTCTCTCTGCTCTCCAGGGGGCCTCATGTATAAAAGACTGTGCAGTTTTCATACTAAAAAGTTGGCGTATGGACAACAGTATTGAGATTTATGAAATGTGCACAAGCTTTTCTTTGCACCTTTCCTTCATAAATCCCAGTTTACGTGGAATAGGCACAGATAAAAATGCCACTTGAACTGCCCTGTTCCATCTCGTAAATAAATATGAAAATTAATATAAATACACATGTCAGGCTTCCAACCTGTGTCCAAAAACGCCATGACAGAGGCATTGAGAATGGTTTAAAAAGGGAATTTAATTAAATATGAAATAGATGTACTGGTGTCAGAGGTAGAGGCAAGAAGTGAAATTTAATTTGGTAGTGGCAGAAGGTGGCAAATGCTGTTAACACAGCAGGATCTGAATTCTAGCACTTGCCCAAAAACAAAAAAAAAAGAAAAAAGAAAAGAAAAGATCATTGAAGTCATAGTTGATGTCAAGAAACAATTTTCTGTGAAGGAACAATATAGGCATCATATGGATGAGGCCATCTCCTAGAGCTGACATGGCACAACCCGACCTGTCAGTCAGCTCCAGCTGAAGGAGTCTAGTTGAAATGAACCCCAGCGTGGTGAGGACTTGTGCTGGCACTGAAAATGTATAGCTCCTCCTATTTCCCTTCTGTAATTGTGGGGGTAGTTGGCCCGGGGCGCTTTAAATTAATTAATAAGTAAGGTATAATTGCTTGCCAGGAGGTTGATGTGATCCTTGAAAACACACTTCCTCACAAATTTTCTATTGGCAATGTTCTCTAGCAGCTCCAAAGCTACTATTGAACCACAATTATGTACAACTTTACGCAGCTATTTTTTGAAGCGACTGTCGACTTCAGGAATCGTCACGGGTGACTTGTTTTGAAATAATCTGCTGATCCAACACCATTTTCTTTCTCATTGACAATGGAAGTGCCCATTAGGGAATTTACATCCATTTTGTGTCTCAGTGGTCTGCATGCCTCATAAGTGTGTGGTTACCAATGTGTTTACGCCAACAGGTGACAGAAAATAAAAACTTTACATTTTATTTTGGATTAAGGTTGTTTCGATCATATTTAGGCATGCTATATTTATGTTGTGTGGGGTTAAGTATGGTTTAACTTGTCATTGGGGTTTGAACCATAAACTCATGACAAAACGTTGAGTTAAATTCTCTTTGGTGCAGGAGACAGCATGGAGTCATATTTTAGTGTGTTTAGACACATTCCAATCCTTTGTGCATAACAGTCTACAGCATTAAATTACATTCACGCAACAGATTACAGGTTTTAATGTATTTATGCACACTTTTACCCAACGTTTTTTTATACATCCATGGGACATGATGTAGTCAACCTTTATGTGTATTTGCAGCGTTCATACAGTACATGAAGCCTCTGGATTGTATTTACAATCACTGTGTCATTAAACCTTGTATTCTTTGCTTGTCTTCCTATAGAAACTACGCCTGGTCCAACACTTCTGTTTTTTTTTTTTTTTTCTGTTTCTCTGTCCTGAACTCTCAGCCCCCATTTGGTCAAGACAGATGACAATCCTGAGCCAGATTCCGCTGGAGGTTTCCTCCTGTTAAAGGAAGTTCTACTGTTGCCTCCCTGGTTATTCAGAATGGGAGATTAGGAACAAAGCAATATTCAACACATTCTGCTGTCTTTATTAAACAGCAGCCTTTTTACCAATTATCATTTTATAATGTGATTGTTTTATGATTTTATTAACCTTGATTAAATTTGAATTTGGATCTGTTTCAAACTGGACTTGACTTTATTGTGTAGTCCCATGGGACAACTTTGTTGGGAACTGGCACTAAATAAAAAAAAATCCTGACTTGAACTGAATTCTTCCTTTAGACGCAGTTGGCCAGTTGATAAAAGCCATCCTAATCTAAAATCTGGAGCACAGTGACAATAAGGGAAATAAAAATGAAACTAAATGGCTACAGTGGTTTAGGTTTTAACACTCTGGAGTTCTTTCACTGAGCCTTGGAAAATCTGTTTCTTGCTCAGCCTCTCTCTCTTGTGGAGTTCCCCAGGGTTCCATTCTTGGACCAATATTAATTTCCATTACCATTTTTCTCTCGGGCTCTATTTTACGAACATTTTTTTTCATTACTATGCAGACAATACTCAGATCTACTTTTAAATGAATCGTACGTATTATTTTTCATTCAAACCACTATCTGATTGACTCACAGATATTAAACCTTAAGTGGCTTCAAATTATGTTATTTTTAATAAGAATAAAATTGATGTCATTATATTTGGACAAAGTGGAATATCTTAAGATAAGTTGTAAAATTTTATTGTTGACTAACGAGGCACTTGAGGTGTACCTGTCTAACATTTGTTTTCTAAAATCCAAGCTAGTCCATCCTGCTGAAAATGTCTTTACAGTTTTAGTCCCTAAATCATGAGGATAAATGTATGAATGTGTAACAAATGCTAGTGTAGAAAAACATTTATAATTTCAAATTGATTTATATTTAAGCAGCTGCATGTTGATGGGCATTTATTGATGTTTAACCTTGTGGATTGGGTTAAAAAGTCAAACACATGAGAACTGCAGCAGGGCTAAATGTTTATTATAACTTTCCCCTTTTTTTTTTGGAGCTGAATAAAAAATTCTCCCAACTGAATTATACATGTGGCAATAATGAGAATTTATTTTACAAAATGTTTCCAGATGCAGCATTCTGTCTAGAATATTAACTGAAAACAGATTAGGTAACTATTTAATATAGAGTTGTGCTTTGTAGGAGAAATATACCGGTAATTGATTTTTGTCCTTCAGAGTTTAAATATGGCACCTATTTAGGTTCAAACAATTGAACTACTTTAGAAATCTATTATATTTAGAGTGTAGGTCTAAAATCAAACTGCAGTTAGACTAAAATATAAGAAAATTAAAACCATAAATGGATCTAAATGTAACAGGTGGGTTTATGCAATTATTTTTTTACATTTTTATTTGATGGGTTGTGCATGCTTTATGGAATTGCTCACATGGTTTGGATGAAACTTTTTAAACCAGTATCTCATTGAGCTGCGACTGCTGGAGACAAACAATGAATAATATTCATGTCTAACTTTTCAAAATGTTTAGAAACGTTGGCAGGGCCTGGAGTACTAGAGCTGTATGTAGGCAAACTTGTCTCAGTTGAACTTTTGAAATTCTAGAGCAATAAAGCTGTATTTTTTTGTCAATATGTAACCAAACTCCAGGTGGGTTATGGACTGAATATCACAAGACATTTGTACAAACTTGTTATTATGTGTCATTACAAGTGAAAATTTACATTTTATTATTGTTACTTTTTTGTCATTCTGTCGATGTAGGTAGGGGGAACACATCCAGCTGCATCTCAAGTGTCCGTAATGATTGTTTCTGAGCTGTCAGCAAATAATTTGGCTCAGATTTCTCAACAGTCGCAGTGAGTTACTGGCTTTAGACACAAAACACTAAATGGGTCAGGTTATCAACAATGAGCAGACATGGAAGGAAAGATGTTCTGAAGAAATGATCCTTTACCTTGTATTGCTTGGCAATGTTCTGCTTGTGGGTCTCCTCCACCTGCCTGAACTTGGTTTCCAGGCCACGCAGCTGAACCTCCATCTTCTCCACGTACTGCAGGTCCCTTTGTGTGCGCTGATCCAGAACCTGGATGGACTGGGTCATGTTCTGGACCTGGGGTGAGAGATGCGGGCTTTTTTAACAGTAGAGAAGACGTTCTGACACACAAACTCTGACAGAGTCAAATTCACACTGTTCCGACTTTTACGTCTGCCTAAACTGGAATGACCTTGTATTTACCATATTTATTCATGTATAATACGATCTCATGTATAATACGACACCCACTTTTTTGAGCTTAAAAGCATAACAAATTTAATCCTCAAACTACCTCCAATTTCATTCAGACTTCAAGATTTTTCAGTCTTTGCAGTCTTTATGCATATCGGTTAAATGATCATTGGACTGTTCATTTTATTTTAACAACAAATGTACTAGAAGGTATTTTGACAACAAATATGCAGTATATCAGCTGTAGCAGCATCATATGAATTCTGGCATTTCACACATAGTCCACCAGGAGGCGCCAAAACAAAAGTAAGAGACTTCACATGAGATTTGGGCCATCTTGTGGGGGAAAAGCAGATTACTTCCTACTCGCAAGTGCCCCCTCTGGTGGGGAAATGTTTTTTCGGGGATACAAACTTTTTCAGAACACCGGTAGATGGCAGCCATTACAGAAGAACATGTGTTTGTTGTTGTTCGAGGAGCGGCCCGGTCACACATAATGCCATTAGTTCGTTATCATTACTAAGGTGCAGGAATACTTTTCCCCCCTTATTTTCACATCATGTCTCCTACCTGGATCTGTTATTATCTTGCTCTGAAGCACAGAGGAGTGTCAGAGGTAAACTTGTTTCAACTGCTTTTTACGTCATAGTCTCACTTCCAGACTCGGGCATTTTGTGAATGAAGCTGATATTTCAGTTAAAATATATAAGTAAAAATATTTACCCAAGTACAATACTACCCCCAAACATTATGGATGATTTTATGGATTTAATTTTACGTATTATACTTGAATAAATACGGTAAGTTCTTCAGGAGCAATCTGCTGAAGCTTCTGATACATCAGCTGTTCTGCTATTTTCCATGAAACTTTTACCAGTGCTCAGTTGGTGAAAACGTGGGCGTCTTTATTTCCCCGTCTGAGTATTGAGCTGGATTGCATCATTAGATATGTTGCTTAGGGTGCACGCACTACGGTAAAAACCACGTCCCATGATGCCTTAGGTTTCCAGGGAGCTCATTAGAGCATCCTTTCTATTCTTGTGCCACAGGCAAACAGCAGATAGGATGGCTAACACTCCTCCATGTCGGAGCACATGCTTCACGAGTTAAAGAGGTAAAACGCAGTGGAAACGGCCACCCTGGGTGTGTAAACTGTAATTACCTTCTCCAAGAGCTGCCTCAGTTGTTTGGTGCGGGCATCCCGTGAGCACATGGACTGCTGGGGCGCCACCACGGTGCAGACGCACCTCCCCTCGCTATCCTGGGCTGAACTGTACACCTGCCATGATTCCTCTGGGTTTGCTGGCAACACCTTAGTTACAGAGAGGAGAAAGGTCAGCGGTGATGCTGAAGGTGAACAAAAGCTCAGACAAAAATAAACAGGAATGTGCTGACTTGTCTCGAAATAGTGGCGAAACAAGATGACCCAGTTTGTTAGTTTTTAATAGTTTGTTACAAAAGGAAATATTGAATAGAAATTGTAAAATGTGTAAAAGAAAGCATTTTTTTTTAGTTTAGCTTCAGTTTATCAGAAAAAATAAATAAATAAAAAAAACAAGGTCACTACAAATCTCACAACAGCTGCAGCAGTGTATCAGGGTTTATAACCTGGTATAAAAAATTATGTTACACCATCAATAAATCTCATATTCTATAAAAAGAACAACAATTTAATGCGTTTATGAGCTTCAACGTAAACAGAATAAATCTCCTTCAGGCTCCTCCTATTTTTCACCAGTGTGCACTTGTGTGAGAGAGAACAATGGTTTAAAGAGTTATTTTTAAAATCTTTTTATGAGACTGCAGGATCCATCTCCTGAGCTGCTGAGTGGTTCTGTGTGAGGAGGTGAAAGTCCTGACTGGACCCGACCTGGACCTGCTGAATGCCTCAATTATTGCAAACCAGTGACGTCACAGACCTAACAGGAGCAATCAGCAGAGTGTCAGCTGCTGACAGGACAGTCCTATATATATATATATATATATATAATCCTGCAGAAAAACAGCGGGAAACGCCTATTCTGATCCTCTCCCTATCAAAAAAATAATAATAAATAAATAAAAAAGGGGGTCTCTCTCTGTCACGCGCGCGCGCACACTGTGTGAGGTGAGACAAAAGAAGCAGGGTTAAATCCCCCACATGTCTGTAACTGTTGCAGACTTTCAGCTCTAGCTCTGATTTCAATCCGGACCCCTCAGTCCTCACGAACCGGACCAGCTGCAGGACTTACTCCCGTGCTCCGGTCCGGGTACCCCCCCTGCGCCGCCGTCAGCTTGGTGGTGTTGAGCCCCACCAGGGAGGGGAGGGTCTGCGACATCCAGTTGGTGATCATCGCCATGGTGCTCAGAACCACCCCGATCTTCAGCAGCGGGACCGTCATCTCTCTGGACTCGGTTCGGACTCACTTTAAATCCGTCTTCATTCTACAGACTCCGCGCAGAGACCAGGGAGCAGACTGGTGCCCACAGCATGGCAGTCGGGTTCCGAGCGGGACTCCGGCTCGGTTCGGCTTTCTGTGGACATCTCCGAGGACGGACCGGTGGCGAACGAGCTGGACTCGAGACGAGAGCGAATCGCGGACACAGAACCGGGAGTGCTGATCCAGTTGTCCTGTGGGTAAAGCTCCTCTCTGCTTCGTGTCCCGGACTCTGCTGTCTCTCCGGTCCTCTGGTTCTGTCTGATCCAGCCTGTCGGTCCGCCTCCTGCTCCGTGATGAAGTGAACAAGCAGAAGGATGCGAGGGGAGGGGAGGAGGGTCTCTGTGACGTCACACAGCTCGGGCTCGGTCTATTGGACTGCAGCTGCCGGACACTGACTTACACCTGAGACCTGGACAGGTCCACAATACCAGGATCACAGTGAGAGGACCAACAGGTCCATATGAGCCTAACACAACAGGTCCATAATACCAGGTCTAACAGGTCTGCTGTAACAGGTCCACTTTGAGAACCAGAAGTCTTTTCTTTTAAAACACGAGATTCGCAGCAAGAAATCAGAACATCTGGATCTAAAACCTGCAGCTGCAGATTGAGACTGCAGAGTCAGAACCAGAATCAGCAAGAGACAAGAATCAATCTGAACAGACCCACATCAGTCAAACCCAGATCAGCCTGAAACTGTTCCAGAGCCAGATCCATCCAGAACATTCAAACCCCGAACTTTCAGAACCTTATCCGTATAATAATAATAATAAAAAAATATATAAAAAAAAGAACCCAGTGACTGATGTGAAGCAGAACCTCCTCAGTTCCTCATTCTTAGGACTCTGGCGCCACCTGGCAGCTGATTGTGGTGTTACACAAATTAAAAC